CAATTCATATCCTACTACCTCAGCCTGCAGAATGCTGGATTACAGGTATGCACCACCATTCCCAGCTCCAATTTTGTATATATTTAAAAGTAGATTATAGATATATATGTATATATACATATATATATATAAATGTGTATATGCACAAGTATATTAGCAAAATAGGAAATAAATACTCAGGACTATTACAATCCTCATTTCTGTAACTGGTCATGTGATACTATCTGGTATTCATAACTACCCATTCTGGATTCTTTGGCCTTCAGCAAGCACTCCAGCAAGTCTCGATCCTTTACCTAGTGGAGTAACCCACACCTCAATTCCTGAAGGTTCTAGGCCATTTGTCATCTCACCTGGATTGGGTTGTTGTAATTTCCCATTGACTTTTATAATAGAAAATGGTAATACTAGAAGAAGCCCTAAGGGATCCCTACCTCCATTGTAGAATAGCAATTCAATTTGGCATTCTGGATTAATCATCCCTACCAATGCTATAACTCCCTTTTTAGCTTGTTGATTCAGGAATGAAGAACCCAAAATGACCAGGGTGAGCATGACCTTCCAGTTCAATGGAATCCTCATTGTGTCTCCTAGTAGAAATTTTCTCCATTCTGGACCTTAAACTTCTAGGGCAGCAGAGGATAAGGGAAAAAAAAAGGAAGACGAGCATAGGAAGAAAAAATTTTGGTAGTAGTTCACTAGAGGCAATGGTGAATAGTACAATTTCTATTCTCACATCTTGATTTTAGGACCATGAATTCTGGCTATGAGAGGAACAGTACCATATATTGCATGCTGAGTCAGAGCCCATACAGTCTCTGTCCAGTCATACAGGCTATTGCCATCTATTTGGCACTTTAAAATCCATCCCAGTGTTTTATTAATCCAGCTCCTTTGAATGATGGGCTACAGATAAGAACAGTGAATTCGAAGAGCATCTTCCTATTGCCATAGATTTGGGGGCATGAAGTCCATTCCTTGGTCACAAGCAATGTTGTATGGAATACTATGATGGTTGATGAGGCATTCTGTAAATTGACAAAGGTAGTTTTTACAGAAACATTACATGTAGAAAAAACAAATCCATACCCCAAATAAGTGTCTATTCCAATAAGGATGAAGAGCTACCCTTCTCATAGTGGAAGTGGTTTGATGTATTTAATCTGCCACCAGATTACAGGATGATCACCTCAGGGAACTGTGCCATATCAAGGACTCCGTGTTGCTCTGCTACTGCTTGCAGATTAGGCATTCAGCAATGGCTGTAGTCACCTCTGACTTGGTGAATGGAGGGTGCTGAGCCCATGCATAACCTCCGTCCCTACCACTAAAGCCATTTTGTTCATGAGCCAATTGGGTAGTGACAGGGATGGCTGAAGAAAGCCACTGAATACCATCCACAGAACAAGTTATCCTATCCACTTGATTATTAAAGCCTTTTTCTGCTGAAGTTTCCTTTTGGTTGGCATTTACATTGGACACAAATAGTCTCACATCCTTCACAACATATGGAGAGGTATATCCACATAACTCTTCCCCAAAGTCTTTGTTACCAAATTTCCAGTCATATTCCTTTCAAGTCACTCACAATCCAGGCAGACCATTGGCTACAGTCTAAGAATAAGCATATAGTTACACATCTGATAATTTTTTCTTCCAAACAAAATGCATAATCAAGTGCACTGCCTGAAGTTCTGCCCACTCTGAAGATTTTCCTTAACCACTGTCCTTAGGGAATGTCATGGAAAGGAGCTGTAGAACAGCAGCTGTCCATTTTCAGGTGGTGCCTACATGATGTGCAGAACCATTTGTAAACTATACACTAGTCTTCTCCTTCTCTGTCAACTGATCATACAGCCATGAAATTCTGGGAGACAAAAGGCAGTGTAGCATGAGTAGGAACTATAGCAATTGGACCACTTTTTCCTGTAGCATACTTGAACCTCCAAGACCTGCTTGGCCCTGATAGCATATAGCATATCACTTCCATTTGATGAAGGACTATTTCTATGTGTATCTGAATTTATGACTCTGAGGGTGAAAAGCAGTCAGTTTATTATGGACAGCTCAGGTTGCATGACTACATAGTAGTCAAGTGTTCAATTTTCATTAAGGCCCAGGAGCAGGCTGGGAGCTGTTTTTCAAATAGAGAAGCTGTCTACAGAGAGTGCTAGAGCCATGCTCCAAAATTCTAAGGGTCTCCTGTGTGATACACTTAAGGGGAATTTCCAGAGTCTTTATAAACATCCCTATCTGCCACTGATTCTTTAAGTACCATTAAATCTTCCCAAGTGGAAAAACAGCTACACAGAGACTAGACCTGCTGCAGAACCTGTCTTATTCTGGGCCCAGTGAAAGCTAGTAGGTTTCTGACTAACTCCGTAAATAGAACATAATTACATGCCCAAGTGAGGAATGTATTGCCTCTTTTTTGGTTATGGGAGGGCCCAGATGCAATAATTTATCCTTCACTTTCAAAGGAATAGCTCAGCATGTCTTATACCACAGGACTAGAAATTTTGGTGAGTAGAGGGCTCTTGAATATTAGTTGAATTCATTTTCATCCTCTGACATGAAAATGTCTTATTAATAAGTCACCAGATCCAATTAGCATAATGTCATCAATGTAATGAACCACTGGGGTACCTTGTGGAAGAGAAAGGCATTTACAATCTCTGTAATTTAGATTGTGAAACAGAACAAGAGAGTTCATATATTCCTAAAATAGACTAGTAAAGGTGTAATGCTAGCCTTGCTAGCTGAAAGCAAATAGCTTCTTATGGACCTATGGCTAGGTATGGGGGAAAAGGCATTTGGAAAGTCAATAGCTGCAAACAGGCACCAGGATTTGTGTTATTATGCTCAAGCAAAAAAGTACATCTGGCACAATAGCTTTAATTAGAGTGCCACTTGATTAAATTTATGGCAATCCATTGTTACTCTCCAAGATCTATTCATCTTCTGCAGAGTCCAAATAGGAGTATTAAATTGAGATATGGTGGGAACTACTACTTCTGCATCTTTAGAGTCCTTCATGGTGGCACAAATCTCTGAAATTATTCCACAGATGTAATATTGATTTGAGGTACTATTTTCCCAGATAGAGGTGACTTTCTCACTCTAATGGCCTTCACACCATAGATTAAAAGCCAATATAATGATTCTACCAAGTACTAAGCATACCTATCCCAATTATACACTCAGGAACTAGGGAAAATGATCACAGAATGAATTCTGAGACTTACTGGATCCAGTGTGAGTTTAAACAATGGCTGAAAAATCTGTTCATCACCTGAAAGCCATAGGCCCTCTTAATAAGGAAGAGTATCAAAAAAGAGTATCTTTTTGGAAGCCATAATGATGTTTCAGATATCTTGAACTCAGTGTTATTTAAGAACAAATGTCTAATTGTCCCCCAAATGTCTTTTTTTCTAATTCAGTGTTTTTAGTAGTACATTTTTGCATATAATGTTTACATTACTTGTGTAAAGGTGGTTCATAATTCTGTTTTCATCCCCATTCAATCTCATCCCTTCCATCTCTTCATCCCCTTCCCATTTGAGAAAGATTTATTTCCCTACTTGCTATTATATATCTTTTATTTTGTTCCTTATTTATAATTTGGGTTTCTTATATAATAGGAACCATGTGATATTTAAGCTTGTCTGTCTGCTTGATATCACTTAGCATTACAGTTTCAAAGTCCATCCATTTTTCTATAAATGACTCATCTATCTTTATGGAAGAGTGTACTTCATTGTGTGTAATTACTATATTCATCTGTTTGTGGACATATAGACTTGTGGAAGTATAGGCTATTTCCAAGATTTAGCTTTTAGTAGTTGTGCTGCTATAAACATGTAATATGATATCTTTAACCCTTCCAGAAATATACCTAGATGGGGAATATCTGGGTTAAATGGATTTCTAGTTTTAGTTTTTTTGAGGAGTATCCATACTTATTTTCATAGTGATTGTACTAGTTTACATTTCTTTTTTTAAATTTATTGAGTGTTTATTAAAAAAGCATCAAAATTTTCAGCATCAACATTTTTGGTGTACACAGCCTAAAAAATTACAACATAAATACATTTCTACATGAGCTACAATGAAAATACCAGTAGAACTCTACAGCAAGAATAATCTTTGCTTCAACTGTCATACACAAGGCAGTCTTCACACATGACAACTGTATGTTTCATGCACACATCTCATACTGACAGCATGTGTGCTTAGCTTTCCTTTCCTGTGGGGCAGTCTGTTCTTGTCACCTCTTTTGTCTTCTTCTTTTGTCAGGAGCTTCTTACTATATTGTACAACATGCACTTAGCAGGAAAATAAGATATCAGTAA